TTTTTTTTTTTTTAGCAATTTTGTGGAAAAGTTGAAATGTTGTTTATTATGCGCGATGTACAAAACGATTGATTTTAATTTAAACAAACATTACATTTCCATGTCGGCTTTATGGCGTTCGCAAAATTTGAATTTTCCGAGTATGCGATTTTAATTTATAAATTTTCTCGTCAATTTTGTAGCGGCCAAAAATTGAAATTTTGCACGCGCACGTGGTAGGGCGATCGATTTTAATTTACAAATGAAAAACTACTAGCAAACTACGTACGAAAATTTTCGTATAATAGATACGACGACAATGGAATCGAATTCGTAATCTTTAATTTTTCGTAACGATAAAACCAATCCTCAAGTTTATACGTTAAAACAGCTTATACAACTACAACTACAAGTTACGAAAGAGATGCAAAGAAACGCAGATTAGAGTTCGTTATAGCACAAGCATATACCATTACTTGATTATTCAAGTTTCACTTCAAAAAGAGATTACTTTTTCGCGTTGACCAGCTTCTTTGTGCCTTTTCCCTATCCGAAGGGAAAAACAAACCTGGCTTTTCGCAATACAAACAAGCTCACGTTAGAAGAAACGTAATACGTTTGACGCTTTTCCCCTCCCGATACGAGGGGAGGAGAAAGGGCGACCCTTTGAAACTTGGAGATTTTTCTACAATTTCTCCCTCTTCTCGAATCTTCGCCTCTCCTTTTCTGTCTCTGCGCGAGAATATTTGCGAAGCGTGTTGGAGCGGATAAAACTAAGTGTGGAGGTGGAGGGAGAAACGCTTAGCCGAGGCAAGATACCGAGATTAAGCGGTGCAGAGCGGGCGTTTAGGGGGCCGATTTGATCGCGACCTCGTAACTTGCGTATCAAGCGGCGCGACTCGGTAATTAGCCGACCGACGTCTTAATGCGTATAATATCGAGAATTAAGCGGCGCAGAACCCGTAATTAACAGGTATGCGCAGGGATTCGTGGCGTGGATTAAGTAGTACGTGTCAATAATTAGCGGCAAGATAATTGCCGCTCACGGATATCGAGGATTAAGTGGAGTGTCTGTCGAAAATTGTCCTGTTATCCTGTGATTTCTTTGATTTGTCAAATTTCTTGGACAAACGGGAAGATCTTGTTGTGGAATAGTTAGAACAGATTTATTCGTGGAGACTCTCTCTCTCTTATTCTCGATAGATCGAGAATACTGAAAGAGATTAGATAAATTTTGATTTGTCTTAATTTAATTTCGTTTATAACTATAACTTAACTCGATATTTAATCAAATTTTTATTATTATGAAATCAAAATTGTTTTTTTTTTTAATTTTGCGTTTCACTCACGTTCCGTGGAATATCGAAGAGAAAAATCGAAACGTTTAATATAGAAATTGACGGGCGGCTTCGTCTTTCATATACGAGGCTACCCTTATTCTATTCTTCTTCCTTTCTTCGAGGACGGAATATCGAAAAAGATGCAACCTGGTCTGGGCCACCATCTGATGTCTATCATCCCTCCAATCGATTTTTGTCCGATTTCAAAGTAGAAAAATGAATAGAAATATACAAGGGGGTGATAAAAGAAGGATAGGCCTCGAATCCTCCATCGATTCGGATTCTGTTCTTTCTGTCGTCGATGAAATATGATTACGGATAGGGGTGTTGCTTTATTGATATTTGAGCATGTTCCATTAGACACTTCGTGATATTCGACACGAAGAGGACATGCTTTTTTACAAAATGGCCGGATCGATTTAACGCATTTC